GCTTGGCCTTGCGGGTTCTGTGCGCTCTGTCTGATCAAGAACAAAATTCCAGACTCTGCAATCTCATTCTGTGTATACTCATTGACTTGTTCCTGTGGAACAACGTACATAGGCCTCACGGCCAGGCGATTGTCCAAACGGACTCGAGAACACCATCCCGCGTGGCTGAACACCGGAACGATTAAGTCACTCACCAGTGGTTTCACACCTAGAAGAAACAAATCACACCGTGGACGTGTCTTAGGCTTTCCGACCCCTGTATAAAGTTTACGGGCGATTATCGAGGCAGGTTCGCTGTCGGATGCTGGCTACGGCAGAATCGACGAGCATTCGTCTGCACAACTCCCCTCTGTGTGCCCAAAACCAATTTGTGCAAGCGCTAAAGGTTCTCTGACCCACCACACACCACCGTATCACGAGTAATCTCGATGATCGGATGAGTGGACAATCAAACATGTAATCTCGGTGATCCTGATTTCCGGTCTCGCGATGAAATCGTTTCTAGTAATCTATGATTTGATTTGATTTTAGTTTCCAAAGACTTAATTTTCTCATTAAGTTTTCGCTCATCTTTCGGAAACAACGTGCCACACCCCACTGATAACTATTGATGCATTATACGGTTCTTTCATCTTTGTTCAGAGTTACCAAAAGTGCATATTCACCAAAATTTGGAGCCGGACATGACGTGGTTGGTAATCCAAAGCGCTCAATCATGTCAGGACTCTGACTTGAACTGGTTCCTTGGGCAGTCTAGCCCTGCCTCTTAAGGTCTTTTGCTTTCAACCATAGTTGCAGATCAGAAAGTCCAAACGACCAGCACGTGGCATTGAATCAATGTGGATTTGGTGAATACTTATTGCTGATGAATCCTTACAAAGTAAAGCTTCCGCAGCTTTCCAGGAGTGAGCAAAACAGTGAATTTGCACGACCAGTACGCTTTCAGCCACTAAATGTATTCGTGGTTAAGTGGTATGGTTTACCTAATCCGGTGTCGTCGATGGAGCAGCAGAATTTTGCATGTCAACTCAACTCAACCGGGATACAGAGAATAGTCAATCCATGATTGATGAAACGATCACTTGTAATTCTTGTTATCCAAAGGCTTGGGTTCGCTTTCTTAGGACCAGGCAATCTTAGCTTATACGAAGTGTGAAAGTCTCGATCAGCCAAATTGCAGTTGGGTTTGTCATCCTGAAGGTCGATTTGTCTGTATGTCCAACATTGCGTGCTCTACCCAGATTGCTAGTTACCCTGGTTTGGATTCGATCCATATTCCCTGACGAGACTACCGTTTTTACCTAGTTACGTGACTAAATAGATTCATAGTCCTATGCTGATCTCGTCGATAGCACACAAGACAGTAATAGTTATGGCAATCATCCGTTTGAAAACTACCTCGTTGATACGAGAGTGCCTTCCCCATGATCTAAATGAAGCTGACTTCAACACATCCAATAGTTTGTTCTCCACTGGTTGGGCAAGAACAATTAATTTTATTCTCTTGTCAGCTGGCCTCGAGCGCTAATGCTCCAGTTCCGAAGGCTGATTGGATCCCTTGCGAATTTCATAATCCAGCCCTTTTTCCATGAGAGGAAATCCCAAAGCACGCTGCATCTCACGTAAGCTGGAACTGTCGTATGTCCAACTATTGAGTCAAAAAGAATTTATGGGGATTTGGAATATGCGATTCTTCTACAACATTCAGGTATAGCCGAGTATAGGTTTCCTGAGAATTCTATTCTGGTTTACCGAATTCCGGCTATCTCTTTTAGTTCGCATTATTATATTTCCGTAGTTTTTATCTCCTCGTGGGTTACAGTTTGCGTGTATGAATTATCGCCCAATAGAAGACAAAACGGCAAACAACTCACTGTTGCACTCTTTCATACCTCTACCCGCGAATCGAAACGGACACATGTGCATTATCAACGCGAATATGTATAATTTCGAAACTCACTACTTTAATGTTTATCAGCAGTATATATATTTATTGCCAGCCTGTGGACTAGCATGGTGCGGTCGCCACAACTGCGTCAGCACTGAAAGGTCAAACATTTAACTTATCTGTATTTCGACTATTGACCGTAATAATTGTTTTAACATAGTTAAGGTGTCAGATTTCTCCAGTTCAGTAACTTGGATTAAACCTAGACTATGGGCGTACAGATAA